CAGAAGGTTGCCGAAGAAATAGAATAGATATGTGCGTATGTAGGTGATAAAAAATATATGTAAATAGCATTATTATGTATAATATATAACTATGTATGTAAGCAAACACCGTAGGAGTAGAAAAGCCTTTGAAACAAATCAAATAATTGTTACTGATAATGAGTTAGGTGCTGCCACAATACTGTTAYTATAACCGTTAACAACATAATAAATGACAGAATAAGAACCTTGGTCGTTTTTCCGGTAGCCGATTGCTTCCAACACGTTCACGAAAGGGCGAATTCACCAGTCCCTTCAGGTTCGAGTGGTACGTCAGAAGAAAAGTTGCATACATAATGTAATTAACACCATATTTATTTCAATATTTCTGTATCTAAGTATATGTAATATGTACATATATTTAATGAACTAGAGATTTTCCTATTTCGACATTTCGCTAAATTTATTGTTAGTTTTGAATATGAAACGTTACTAAATGCGATTTATTTTTACAGTAAGGAGCAAAATAAGGAAAAATTGATTGTAGTTCGTCTCAAAGTTAGAATTCGATTTCACAATTAATATAAATTAAAAACTGTGTGTATATATTAATTTATGATTGTTGGATAGATGATCAATTCGCAATCACAGTGGTGGAAAGAAATTACAAGTACGACTAAATAGAAATTTGTATGTATGTAATAGACGAAATGTATGTATGAATATGTACGTTATACTGAATGTAAAGATTTTAAGTAAAGAACCTGGTTGGGTTGAGGTCTGGAAATAATGCTGGTACTGTGACGTCGTCGTGTTAAATGACTTTGTGCAGTGGGGCTATCCTGTAAATGATTCCAACTCGATACATAAGCCGAAAGCAATAATAATTTGGAAAAGATCAGAAATTAGCTTCGCTTAAAGTAGTCAACGAGTATATATAATATAATAAACATAGAATACTATATACATAAACATACTAGTACACGAGTTAATTACAAAAAAAAAAAAAAATAGAAAAATAAAATATCGAAAATTTACAACCTACATCATTATGTTCAGCCAATTACAATTAAAACGATTTCCTGTCAATTTAAAGTGAAATGAAATGAAATCAAGCTATTTGTACATTAAATTATTGAAACGAGAGTTGCAAAATTAAAATACTTTAAACAWAATATAAATAAATATACAACAATTGGAATAAAAAGTAGAAGAATATAAATATTAGATATATTTATTTTAGAAATTGAGGTAAGCATATGAATAACGTTAAAATAACATATTAGAATGAAGTAAATAAATTAATCAATAATTAGATGCCGCTTTGAATCATCCAAAACTGKCTTGATTATATTAAAATATGTATATATATTTTGTAAAAGTAAAGTTTTTAGATCAGAATTATTTATGTGAGAAGCAAGAAATATAAACAATATTTAAGGCAAATCATTTTTATCTACGATACTGGCTTACATGGATTCGCTGCCGTTTCACTTTGTTTATATGCACTTCCATAAAACGCATGAAGTCTTCGACCTGTCTCTTTGTATTGTCCACAGCTAGATCTGTATAGATATCACAGCGTTGACTTCCGTATTCTATGATTTTTTTCATCGCTAAGTTATCAGTGGGTAGTAAATACATACGGTAACGCCAATATTTCAGACTCTGTGATATTATGTTCAAAATTGAGAAAAACAAATCATACCAATTTCAATAAGAATGCCGACTTCACTTTTAGAATTGAGCAATAACTTACCTCCATCAAAGGATAGTCACGGTCACCGCGTGTACAAATATAATGATCCATATAGTTCCAATTGAAATTTTCTAATTTTTCCGTCGTAAAATTAACACCTGATATTTCATAAGTCTCGTGTTGGGGAGCATGAAAACGATAACGGTAGTCAACGTTAATGGGCGGATAAGGATGTCTAAAATATTTTGAAATTCAGAAGTACAAATGTATAATTACAATAACTATAGGTCACTCACCTTGGCCGATAACCAGTGACTGTTATCACGGATCCAATCAATGTTATTCGGTGAAATATTCGACCAATAGAGAGCAAATATTCCTTCATCACTTCAGTCGGTGCAATAATTCCTAAAACGGAAGATGGCTTTTGTTGCTTGTAGCCGCCACAGCATGGCGCCTGTGCTGGTTGAGTRTTCTTCTCCTCGAACACAATTAGCTGGAAGCCCTGTGCCAATCGTTGGGACACAATCTCCCGAAAGACTTCCTCCGTAGAAAGAGGTTTACGATACACCGCTCTACTATTAGCATAATCAAAATTTACATCGTCAGGCAGAAGCGTATAATCAGATATAACATAATCATTATGCAGAGAACGTTTATCTGGGAAATAATCGGTTGTGATTGGCAAACAAGCCGGTATGGTTAGCGATTTCCAATCCACACCTAAAATTGTGGATGGTTAAAAACGTACGATTAATAACTTTATTTTATTATACGAGTGAAACAAGCAAAGTAATGTTATTACAGGCAAAGTCGGTTACACAGAATACAGAAAGGACGTCACAATAAATAAAATAAAAATATAAACCACTAAACACTTTATAAAGTGAAATTTAATTCAATGTAGAACAAGAATAAGGAAAGCCATAGCCTTTGGAAAAGCGAAACTGTGCTATTTGCAAATAAATCGACAAGAAAAAATATATACATACGATTTACCATATTTGCTTTATATATATACATATGGATGTATGCATGTATGTAAATTGTGTAAAGAACATTAAAATGCGAATAATGTTTGTAAGCAAGGATATGGAAAGTAAATGAGAATGAAAAGTCACTAGTTGCTGCACATTAAAAATGGTCCACGCTACTACGTTTGGAAAACTCTGTTAGCGATCAACCTCGTTTGATCGGATATTAATGGAACGTCGATTTCGTTGTCAGTCATTTCGACAATATACGAGTTTGAAACAATATACATACATATATTCAAAGGGTTAATACAATAATCTTAATAGTCGAAATAGGTTGATTTCCAAATGTTGTGTTTTAGCCGTTTGTGTAGACATTTGGATTTCCTTTTAAATAAGCGAAACATTTTATATTTACATATGATTATCTACGTGTTTGGATAGAATTGTGTATAATTGGAGGTACATAGCGATAGCTTAATAAAATAAATGTTATTTTGCAACAAGTGACAAGCTTTAAACAAACTTATGTGAAATATAAAATGAATTATAATCCTTTTCAAGAAAAGTGCATGCAATGTGTGCTTATGTATGTATGTATACATACGAATATTGTGAATTTTTTATCTTGGTGCAAACTTCCAGTTTCCAGATTAAAATATTAAGTGCGTGTACTTAATTATTGCTATTCCATGATATGCGAGCAATTTATTTAAAAAAAAAAAATTATGCAACTATTATATTTATAATAATTGCGTTAATTTTACGTTTGTATGTAGGTATGTAGGTTTAAGTGTATATATTATTGGCTGCCAAAACTAGTATATAACGAATGTTTATGAGTCGACAAGTTCAAGAGACCAAACTACTCCAACATAAATGTTCAAAATGTTCGTACAAAGAATGTATGTAAACGTATACATATGTATGGGTATTAAAACTGTGCCATTATTTGAGTAAGTTGCCTAGTCTATAAATCGAGTAATAAAAATGATTATTACCTAAGTACTTAACAAATAATTTCAATATTATTCAATGGATGAATTTTACTTGTTTTTAGTTGATTTACTAGTATTTAATAAAAATTTAGAATCATCAATTAATCGCACAGTCATATTTGTTATACTATTATATCAAACAAGCACTTAAAATAAAACTACCGTGAATCGTTCTAATAACAAAAATAAGTTACAATATTATTACGGTGCGCCGATACAATAAAATAAACTACTAGGTGCATTGATAAAAGATTAAATATGCATACAGTGTAAGCCAAGCATTTTTGAATGGCGGGGCATGCATTCGAAATTTTTGTCTCTCTGTTGAACTTATTTTTTTTTGTGTTTCTCTTTCTAAACGTATAATTGTGGCTACTTGTAATAAACCATACGCATGCCTTTTTGCTATGAGCGCACGCACACCTACAAATTGCTTGAATTATGCTGCACACTTTTTCTTTTTACTCTATACAAATTGAAGCAAAGCTTTTGAAGTATAAAATGTTAAATATTACTAGAAAATGTGTAGGAATTTTTTATTTGAGTGTTTTGCAAACCTATTATTACTTTTCCTCTGCCATCTGCCTTTGCGCTCTGACTTTTAGTAGGAGCTTCGGTTTCAACAATAGGWTTTAAATGTTTTCCCATTTTTGCATTCGCTTTTCATTCATATGCATGTAGGTAGTATTTTTGWGGACCAAAATGTTATGGATTCAATTTTGATGTAATATTTAATTTTTTTAAAGTTGTTTAAAGTTGGCGAGCAAATAAGTTTTTTTTAAGTTTAAGAATTTATTGGAATATTTTCAGTTTGCAAATTGTTATTTTATATTTTTGTGTTTTTTTGTTCGTTCACACAAATTTTCACGCATTTTATGGGAAGTAAGAAAAAATGAGAGAAAATATTTTATGTATTAGTATCAAAATTTTTCAACATTGCCTTAATAAACTCACATATATATCTATTATATATTATATAACTAAAACATAAAAACAATGCACGCACAATGTTAAATATCGCTTTCAAAACAATTCGATGCGGCCACATTTCACTATTGATAAATACTTAAAGCTAGTTGAGTTATTTTTATAATGAACAAAGGAAAACAAATCATTTATGAAACTTACAGACTATGACAATATTTTGATTTAGTGATAACTACAATGAGGATTAGTCCTGCGCTATATGATACCACATTTTCAATAAGGAAATATAGTTCCACGGAAAAAATTTTTTTGGTAAATTTTTAATTATTACAGATGCCCGGACTTATGGACTTACAAATAATATAATTGAGAACATTACATGGACGCCCCAATGCGCTCCAATAGCATTTAGGCATTCTATGAAAATTTCAGGTTTTGCTGATATTATATTGTAAATTTATTCCAAAAACTATTAATAGCGAAACTCAATAGTATATGTACAAATATATCATATATATGTATTTAAATATGTATATACTATTTAACTCTTAGTTTATTATATAGGCTAAACTATCTTTGAATATCGTGAAGCTTTTAGGATTTTTGTCTAAATTGAGTTTGTTTCATGCTAGTTCACAAGCACTGATTTGGTATTTACATACATATGAATTTGTGTAAATTAAAACATGACTTCTACCATTTATGTAGGTAAATGTATACAAAAATCGACAAAATACATACGCGTATGTGATTTGGAAATCATAAAACCACTTTTTATAATAGGCTATGATATTATTGTTTTTAACTTCAAATAAGACATTTAAAGGATTCTTTGTGTTAAAGCAACAACTATAAAAGTAGTCAAATTCATTTTTAGTCAAGTGAGGAAATAAAGTACATTATTACATATAAATAGTTTATTGCAAAGGACATTGGACACATGTTAAACGCGAAAAAAAACATTTCAAAACCATAATATATTTTGTTTATATTATTACATATATGTATTTGTAAAAAAAAAGTACATAAATCTAAAATAGTTTTTTGACATGATTATTTATAACTTAATATGGTCCTATAAGAACATACCTGTTGTTATAGCTGGTGTCCATTCCTGCTCTCCCGTCGCACCCCATAAGAAACTTTTTGTGGGTACTGCTGCGCCTGCTGTCACATTATTTGGGCTATTGTTCAAGAGTGAATTATTTCGTTTTTTGAGAACTTGAGAGAAAAATCATTAGTAATCATATCTTTCATAAAACTTAATTTCACTAGCTTACATTCATTATTATCACAATCATTGCTTGATGTAAAGGATTTGTTTAACGAAGAACATGTGAATGTGTGATCATAATCACATGTGCTAAATCCTGAAGTGTATTCATTATCGTTATTAATAATATTACTGTAGCTTAAATTGTGGGGTTTGGCAGGTACGGCTTGGTAATGATGTTGTTGTATTAAAACACCAGTAGGTCCCTATAAAATATTCATAGATATTTATAGAGGTCCCTATAAAATATTTATAGATATTTATAGATATTTTATTAGGTGTTATCTACGAATTTATCTATAGAACGGCAAGTGTTTACTTTCATATTTGGACTAAATTTTATGTAATTTTGAAATGTACTGTTTTTTTACATTGAATTGTTAATATTTTAAATAAACAATACTTGTAATTAAACCGTTACCTTTGGGAATATGTGCGTCCAACGTCGACGATTCGAAGTRAGTTTTATTGTAACGTGAGAAGGATCGAATGGGTTGATTAATGCTCGCCCCGGKCGAACGATAGGGGCAATAGAAACAATGGAACGTCGTGAATTCTTATCAGAAGCTAATGATTCAGACAAGTTGGGCGAATCAGTCTACAGAGAATGGGGTCATTAAAATTTATTTCGTAAATAAATATAAACGGCAAGTATGTGTATCTACCAAAGCAGCTAGSATTCCTGATGTACCATGATATATATCTGGATCAGACATTTTACGTCGCAAGTTTGGAATTTTCGTAGGTGTTAAATTCTCCCAGTCATGGTTTCGGTAGGCTGACGTCTCTAAGCTAGGCACGGAAGTCTTTTTAGCACGTATAACTCGTTGCAACGAACTATGTATTAAACAAGTATATATCTTGGTATATCGATCAATCATTTCGGATTTTAAATTATCATACCAAGTGCTCTGAGCTGGTGGAGGCTGAAATATTTGCTCGTCATAGGCATCATAATCAAACAATGAATTATGTATATATTCAGATTGGTTGCAACTCAAAAAGTGTTTTTCACTTTCCTAAAATTAAATTATTGTTGTGTTATCGAATATTACTTGAAATATATGTATAACTATAAATTAGTCAAATAAATAAATAACTGACTCTGTTTTCCTTATTTAATGTGATATTTGCAACCATTGGTGGCAATTTAATGCGCGGTATAAAATTTGAGTATGCAACTTTTTTGTTAGTTGAGTAAAAACTTAAATTTATCCAATGTGGGAGTGAATAATCGTCCGCTGAGGTTAAAGAAGTGTCCTTGTTGTGAAATTTTAAAAGTGGAACAGCGTGTAAAGGTTGTTCTCCTACACATACTAAATCACTACCAACGCCATTATCAATTATCTAGAGTAAAATTGCAATCATATAAATTTAATATTTAAATAGTTTACCAATACACAGATTGTGACTTACCCGCTGCTTGGTAATATTCGTAAGTTCTCTGTCGACTTCAAACACCCCAACACCAGGTGTGATAACAACAGACAACTGACCCGTTCGGTCAAATGTCCTATCCAGGTAGTGTTTTTCGAACGTGTTTAATGAAATATTTAATACTTCCAGGAAGTTGCCTTGAGCCGCTGTGGAATTAGTAGCTGCGGGAATGGATACACCCTCACGCTCATGGTAACGCAGCACCGTTGATTCGTACGATGTAAATAGTTTGCGTAACTGCGTCAATACAGTGCACCAATCTTCATTGCGTTCATTTTGAATAGCAACACGATAAAAATCTTCATAATAACGGCCTTTATAATCCAATTGAAGGCAATCGCGCATATGATCTGGAAACTCGTCAAGTGATTTCGCAGCATAAAATGTACGAGAAAACAATACAATCGTGACTTCGTGATTGCAGCCCAATTTCTTCCACTTATGAAATAGTTCAGTAAGGAACCCGTTAACCGCTTTTTCGAAATATAAATCGCCGTGTATGTCAAAATCCCACATTTCTGATGACATTTGCAGAAACAAATATACCATTGAAGTACTACTGCGGAATACAATCTTTGTTTCTTCCGTTATTACTCCACAGGAAACGCGTTCACCTTGRGCCCACATCTCATAAACTTGACAACGAATTTGCATTTCAATATTTTCGATTTTTTTATTTATATAAACACAAGTGTCCGTCTGTAAATTAATAAAAGAGTTTTTGGGGATCTCGTAGTTATTTCAACGTAATTTATTTATTTATACTTTACCTATGTAATCATTTATGATTTTTAATGTATTTAGTACTGTCATAAGTTCTGTTACAAGTGTGGGCCATTATAAAAATTAAACTATATACAATTATTTTTTAATTCAGTGGATTTTATTTAATAATACTTTTTTTAGATGAGCGATGTATAAAATTTCATTTTGWTTTTTTGACTGACGATAGGGTTTGACGCGAAGATCATCTCGAATTAGTTTTGCCATTGATCTGGCCGATATATCCATTTCCTTTGACATATCTATTTGTTTTGTACATAGATCTTTCGCGAATTGTTTTTAAGACCATTTCTCTTTCTGTCGTCAATTGTAGATGATTTGGAAAAACGATAAATAGCGGGGTAAACAAACATTCTCGAAACATTTAGTTCTTTGGGAAGGTCATGAATTTTCCCTGTTCTTTTTCCACACTTATGTAAAGCAATCCCTGAAATACGATTTTCTTTATTTCCCCATTTCATTGTTAATAAGCGAAAGTAAACATTGAACCATTGTCCAAACCTACGAGTAACAAATCTTAAATTTTTCGCAATATATACTGTGATGTATACAAAGAAGTATACTTTTCGAATGAGAGAAATTACGATAAGAATGCAATTGAATAAGAAACTCGGGGTGAAAGGACTGCGTTCAGACGAGGACTAGTTTTGTCACTCATTACCGGCAAATTCTTTTTTAGTGTCGCTCATTGCGTTCACACACGCGACGTTTTTATTTTGTATATCACATTCTCTATTTCTTGCAAGCTTATGTACGTGGTACATGAAAATATTTTTGGTTAGCTAATTTCTATCCGTATACCTAGGGCATAGCATAAATAGACATAGCATAAATTGTTATGGATATTTACATAATAAATAAAAAATATAGATAATAAAATTCAAATTTCGGAACATAAATATAAACTTTATTTTGAAACCCAGCCTCCAAAATCTACAAAAATATCGTTTTGGGCGTCAAAAATAGTCCTCCTGTGAACATAGTCTAAGGAGAAAGTGGTGAGGATTTTGTTTTTACTTTTTTTACTAGATAAGATTCTCCATTTTTCTTGTTTGTTTGTTTGTAAACAGAGCATAAACAAAGCAACATAGAAAAAGTATTTATTTACAGGCTTTTACCAGTTTTCGTTGTTGCCTCTTATCATTCTTAAATTCATAATTACCCGATAAACGCAATCTCGTTTTTCTCATCCTTGGACCTAATTACTAATTTCGGATGCACTGAAGCTATAATACTTTTCACAAATACAAATCCTACAATACAAGAACTTGATTTGTATCGGTCTTATATGCTCTGGTGGTTCGATATTGTATCGTTTCTTTATAGAATTATTTATGCCTAATTTGTTGAAGATATCTTTTCTAAAAAAAAGTTTTCCATACAAGGCCATGTTTTAATCATTCAGTTTGTAGGGTGCTATAATGGTTCAATAACGTTGTTTCGGACATATTAGCAGCTTCGTGGAAAAAAAAGGTTTGCCCACGTTCGATCAGATCGATATGTCAAAAACTGAATAACCCTTATATACAGAAGGACAAGCATGACTAAGTCGATCCAGCTCGTCATACTGATCATTTATATATACATTTAATAAGGTCTTCGACGTTTCCTTCTATTTACTTTGTACCTTTTTCAGGGTATGGTAACGGCACTTTTTCTGCTAATTTGTTCTCGCTGTATGTATTTAAAATTTTGTAACAGAAGTTATGGCAAGACTAAGTAGTTAAAGAACTTAGCACATTACAGTTAAAATTATATTATAAATAGTTAACATATACATACATACCAAATAAGTTTTCAAACGCCACATTTCGGATCTTCCCATATATTGATCTTTAAACGCAATTTCAATAGAATCAAGAGCTACATCATTTGCATTCACTCGTCGCATAAACACATAGGCAAACTTTCTTAAATTGAACTGAGTAGCAATGCCTGCCTCAATGCTAATTTCGTCACGGCGAAGATCGTTAAATTTGGTAATTTGCAATAATAATCTAGTATTTTCATCTTCGCGGTCATAAACCTCAACAACATCACCTATTTTTGTGTCGGGATGTTCCTTTTGATTAATCAGCAAGTCCGCATCTGGAATACGAAAACATCAATTTAGTATCCCGAGTTATTATAAAAAACGAGCTCTAGCTTACCGCTGTAGGACTTTTGATGTGTATTTAATTTGTAATGTTTCATATTTCATATATATATTTATAACTTTTTACTGCTATTAACATTTTTTATTTAGCGTCCTGTTTATTGTCTCGTTGAAATTTATGTATAGGAACTAGAAACAGAAATGGCTGCTGTCAGAAACAGCTGTTACTGATAACAATTTATTTACARCAAGAGGTTTGTTCTCTCACTTTTCCGAGAGATAGATTTTTGAAAATCTCAGTTCTAAATCGGGTGTAATTAATAATAATATATATTATAATACAATATAAAATTATATAAAGAATGTCATTTAAAAATATATTTTGCTATCCTAGTCGTTTTATAGGGATAACTGAAGATATCCATATGTACATAGATTTACAATTTGAATTTATCAATATGTCAAATAATCACTCACTCAGAATTGCGATGTTACACTTTGCAAACGATAAAATTTAGCGTCAAATCGCATCACATCAATGACATGAAGCTATTGTGCTTATTTTAGTATGAAAATGGCTGACACTGAACTTATTCTGAAAATAATTAATGCTGTAAAAAAGCGTGATTGCTTATGGAATGTACATTCTTCAGAATATGCAAAGCGAGACAAATTAGAAAAAGCTTGGCAAGAAGTTGCTGCTGATGTAGGCAAACCAGGTAAGTACAAATTAGAAATTTGGCAAAGCTATGTTAGGCGGCATGGTATGTTCATATTGCAATTATATAGTAGATGTGATGCCTTGATGTGATTTTTTTTTWAATTTATACTTCTTTGCAGACGTTTTTTGCCGCGAAAAATGGAGGAATGTTCGCACTGGCTTCCTACGCAGCATTCAATATAATACTAATATTCGTTCCGACTATGGTGATAGTACCGAAGATTTACCCACACCTCGTCGCAAACGTTTCTATTTGTACGATGAAATAAAATTCCTTTTGCCGACAACGGAAACAATAGGACAAACTAAAAGGAGGCGAAAGCTCTCGCGCAGTGCAAAGCCGAGAATTTCCATTGATGATAACAGTGGAGATATTTGCGAAATCTCAACTATACAATCAAGTTACACTACGCAAGATGATATTAAGCACTACAACAACAACGACACAAATCAAAGTACTAACATTGCCTATCCAGAAATATTGAATGAACTCCAACTCACCGCTAATGCATCTAAACCATTAACTAGGCAATCTGATGTGGCTATTACAATGAAAATGAATCAACAATCGCCCCCATTAAAGCTCGATGAAGGAAAAGCAGAGCAAATGAAGCATACGGCTCCTATAAATGTTTCATCTAGTGCAACAAGATATGAAGTGGGCAATAATACTACGGTTGGAGAATCGTTCAATGTCAGTGCAAATCGTATTGAATCTGACATTCGCGATGAGGAGCAACTCCTGGCATTTTTTCGAGGTAATATCGACGATATCTTGTCACTGACACGCCCTAAGCAACGTTTGTTCAAGCGACGTATGCTGGAACTAATAGACGATTTGCATCGATCGGATAATGGCCGTTATTGTTCTTGACCATGAAATGTAAGATTGACATTTATTAGCTTCTTGACCATGAAATGTAATATGCATATTTATTAAACTTTTCTTAACCATAAATATGAATAAACAGAAAATACATTCCGATTTTGTTTTGAAATTACCTAAAATTACTCCACCAAAATGAATTACATCCTTTTCCTCAATATACATATKTAAGAAAACACCTTGGGGTTATTAATTCGTTTTAATCATTTTATTAATATATTTATGCAATTTAAAAATACAGGTATCAATATTACAGTATTTATATCTAAAAATGCAAATTCATCCAATTTTTTGCTTTGCAATAGCTTTATTAATGAAATTGTATTTTATTTGAACATGTTGATCTAARCTTATATAGTCGTGCACTGGATAACAAAATCAAATTACTTAAAATTATAAGCGCTACATTCAATGGCAAATCAATATATACTAGGTATCAAAGGATAGTGGAAAAATTAATACAGTGCGTACTAACGGTGGTTTTTAATGATTAAATAAATAATCAAATTTGCAATCATCCTTCAGCTTGTGACAAGCTGTTGAATATTTAAAGAAAATACCTTCGTATATAAGTAAATGCTTGATAATATTACCCATGTTCTTCGCAAACAATTATATTTAGTTAAAAAATATCTGCCAATATGTGTTTATCTAGAAAAAAAAAGTTTCTATGCATACTTCCCATTTTGTTTGACTATTTTATTGTAAATTTCGTATGATAAACAGCTTCACTAACCAAAATGTTAACCGATTATTTGCCCTACCGTATGAAGTGCTATATTATGATGAGCTTTGGCTTTATGATGCTTTTATTTCAGCTGTGACTCTGTTTTCCCCTCCACATTTCTGTTTATTTCATTCTGGGTTAACAAGATATATAAATGTACGGAGCAATTTTACTGATTTTTCAGATAAGTAGTCAGGGAATCTAAATCACGCTTCAACCAGTTAGCGTTAAGGCGAATAGTCTCCACAGCTTGAGATACAGTACGCTCGGTACCAGGAAACTGATTTTTCTTAAAATAAGTTTCAACTTCAATAGCTCGTTCCTCCGAAGCGAAATTCTCAATAAGATACTTGATAAGGCGTGTCAAGAGGAAACTACCCTGTAAAATAAATATAAATGACGGGTAAGTAGTATGACATTGATTAGTTATATGCATTTATTCGCGAAGTAAAGCTTGCTYACCTGGTATTGTTGCAATAACTTCTGATTATTATCTTTGAAGAATTCCCAAGCCAATACCCGTCCTTTGGGATTCACCGCCACAGCAACAATAACAAAAACTGAGTCCTGTGCACGTACTTCTCCCTAAAATATCAGTGGTGGCAAAATTACAATAAGCAATAAAAGCTACCAAATATTATGTACTCACCGACATGGCGAAATCTATAACTTTACGTAATATATTTACATTGCCAATACAACCCAACGCTCTTGAAATACGATCTTGTTCTTCATGTAAATCTGTGGAACGGTACAGTTGCAGCATCTCATTGAATATTTTTTCATCACCATCCTGCAATACCGCTTTGTAACATGTGGAACGCAAGTCAGCTGGTATAGGATTCGTTCCATCGGCATGATTATTAAACCTGATAAAGAAAAGCATATTGAAATAATACATATTTATAGGACATATGAATGACAAATTGCAAAATGTATTTATGTACCTTTTTTTTGCTTCGGCAATGATGTCCTTGCATCGGAAGGATACCAAACGCGACAAAACCAGACTTCGTAATAAAGTGTCTAAATGGTTCTCGCCTTCTCGCACATCCCAGCCTAAGCGATCAGCCACTGGCCGATACAACTTTTCCCCATAACGGTTAAAGTCTTCCATTAAGTCTGTATGAGAAATCAGTATGTGCAAGTTTGCCAATGAATTGGTAATAGCAGTCCATACAGTATAATTAGTTTCGTTACGATATGAATCGATAAGCTTCAGCACCTCAGCTGTGCTTGCTTGACCTGCTTGCACCATCGCAAACATGTCATCAATCAATCCCAAACGGTCAAGCGGTGGCAACTCCATTTTTCGCACAGCGGGTAATAATTTTTCGAGCATTTCCTTGGAGTATCTTGTCCGATAGAAACCAACTGTGCCAGGATTGATTTTTACCCAATCATCTGCAGTTACATCGTCCAATACAACTTCCATTGACTTTTGATCTAATAAAAAGGTTTTCGCAATCTTATTGGGATCACGTGATGTGGAAACGGTTACCGGAATCACCCAAGTATAATCACCATCCGGTGCTGAACCATCAGCAGTAAACTTATTTTGAGTCAATTTTAGAAGCCTTCGATTGTCACTATTTTGCACAGACTCCACACTTACTACTGGGAACCCTTTCAATTTGATCCAAGTWGACATAACTTTAGCGACTGGTTTTGAACTGGCTTCCTGCAAAGCAGCCCATAAATCTTCAGTGAAGGTATTCTTATATTGATGGCGTKTTAGGTAAATGTTCATGCCCTTTCGAAAGTCCTCCTCCCCAATATAGTCGTGAAGCATACGAATGACAGAGGCGCCTTTGTTGTAACTAATTTCATCAAAAATTTCATCAATCTCACATGGATGCCCCACCGGTACTTCAATTGGATGTGAATTCTTCAACGAATCTAATTCTAATGCCCGAGTATACATATCTGTGACAAATTGGGTCCAAATATCATATTCGGGAAACAAATGGTTGACACATAGAAATTCAACAAATGAAGCATAGCCTTCATTTAACCACAAATGTGTCCACCACTCCATGGTAACCAAATTGCCTGAAAACAAAATTAAGTAAAAAATTAAAAAAAACTAGCTGGCAAAAATTGATGAATTTACATTACACTTACCAAACCACTGATGGGCTATCTCATGTCCCACAGTTAAGGCAATAGATTGTTTGCGCATAAGAGAAGTATTTTTGGGATCAACTAATACAAAAGTTTCACGATATGTCACAAGTCCCCAGTTCTCCATGGCACCCGCCGAAAAATCGGATATCGCTATCAAATCCATTTTTGGTAAAGGATATGCAATGTTGAAATAACTCTTATAGTAAGGCAAAACTTTAGTAGCCACTTCAAGTGCAAAAAGACCTTGCTCTTTCTTGCCAATTGGTGTGAACACTCGCACTATTACACCATCTTCGGATTTACCTTCGACATAATCATATTCACCAACTACAACAGCTACCAAATATGTAGACATTATTGGAGTCCTATCGAAGCGTATGCGACGTAAATTATTTTCAAGTTTTTCTTCTTGAATCTCAGGCATATTTGAAAGTGCGACTCGATCTTGTGGCACGATTAATGCTATATCGAAAGTTGCTTTGATAGCTGGTTCGTCCCAGCAAGGGAAACAACGTCTAGCATCAGTGGCTTCGAATTGAGTTACTCCAGCATATCGTTCTTCGCCACCGGGCGTAAAATACTTGCTTCGATAAAAACCTTTCATCTTATCGTTGAGTTCTCCAGCGAAGCACATTTTCAAAACACCACATGATGCAGCTGGAAGTTCCTTTTCGAATATCAATGTGGCAGTTTCATTATCAGTGGAATAAGTAATATTACTTGGTTGCAATATCTCGCCATTTAATTCCAAGTCAACTTTATTTATTGTGATGTCCAAAGCATTCAGGGTAATACTTTTAGTTGCGTCACATATCTATAAGTTGTACATATATTTTAAATTTCTTTCAATAATACAACGAACAAAGGAAAATAATGGTATCTCTCACAAAGAGATGTAAAAGTAGTATTTGCGTTGCATTTTCTTATCTCATTATTAAATGTATTTATCTTAAGAGCAATTACTAAGTCATTCAGTTTTCAACAGCAAATGGTGGCAAACACGGATAATTAGACATGGTAAGGCTTTAAATATCGTATATAGATTATATTATAAATGTATGTTTATACGCACAAATATGCTACGTAGGTGTTTTTTATTCGAAATCCCTTCGGGTTTTTCAATAAAAACTATTTTCTATGCATTATTTTGATATCTACATATATATAATATATACACATGTATGTMTATACTTGTTGTGAAATAATACATATTCGAATTGCTAACGTCATTAAAGTATCCATGCGGAAACTCTGCTTTCTTTCTTTCTTTTAATACGGTAGAAGTGAAAGCAAAATTTATTTTATTCCCATTCACTCCCATAAATATTTACCGTCCTTCATTCACACATATATTTACACTCGACATACTTAATATATCACATACCTTTAAGTGTACGCTAGTATTGCCCTCGAAAGTGAAAGCCTCTAAATTCGGCTGTAACTCTAAAACATAGTGCGTTGGCACAACGTCAGTTGGAAGGCGCTTAAATTCCTTTTGAGGTGATGTGGACATGTTTCGGCGGATTTCAAATCTATGGCCAGCAACACTATTAAAACCAGCGTCGGCGGAAGTGCGGGAAAGAACAAAACCGTACTTTTGGCACAGATCACCTAAAAGCGGGGCTTCCGTATATTTAAGCGGTGCTCCCAAAGATGCACTTGAATAATCTCGATAAAATTGTTTTTGCTGTTTTACGTACTGCTTTGAAGAAATTGCAGTATCCAGATGCTCACACAAATGACAATTTTCTGTACATAAAGAACTTTCAAATGATAATACTGAAGCACAATTTATTTTTGGGTACACAAAGCAAGACAATTGGCTGGCGGACTGTTTCGAAACAATTAGAGCAACATCAATTGCAGTTATTTTGCGACAACAATGATAATCCGAATACAAACGAGCACGCAACGGATTCGAAAATTCTTGTGAAAATTTTAATCTTGACTGGTATTCCGGTATTCTCTGCCGTACAAATCTTAATTTAATGCCGTGTATGTTTCTGATGAATCGAGTCAACTTAACGGGACTATTGCAACTGACAGCTGGAATGGCATGCAAAAAGTAGCACAAAAATGTTAGATGATTAGTGCTACCAACTTAAAAGGTTAATTTCATTTCAAGTTGGAATATCAGTAAAGCAGAACTTCGTAGAACATGTGTAAATTAAAAAAAACGCACACAGATTCAAAAAGCATTCCAAAAGTATTGACAATAATAAAAGAAAATTTGAGAGGTCGTTATTTATTAAAGCCTTTTAACAGTGGGTAAATTATTTGGCTGCGTAAAAGTGAATAAAGCAACACTGGTTATTTTTTACCTTTCAATAAATGTTGTGTGAACTCGGTATTTGCTTTTGCCAAATCAAGACGTAACTTTCCCAACTCTATATTAGTGAAAGAATCGAATCGCAAAGATAAAATACAGTATGCATGGAATAAAATTGTAAATACATTTTAAGTTCTAGGGGTTTTACGATCTGTATACATATGTATAAAAATATGTCTATAAAGTGAGAAGCCAGTGGCGTTATCAAATGAGCTTAACCAGACCATCACTAGGAAAATTATTCCAACCAGAATTTTCTTCAAAATAATGAATTACAATATCTATTACCGTTTTTGAATTTCCAAGCGTGTATTGCTGTCCGGCAACCAGCTTTTAAAGCATTAGTATACATTTCACTTTCCTAAAATTCTATATAATAGTAATGAATGAGAGAAATGATTTAACGACAGGAGGAATGAATAAAGAACTTTTAGAGAAAATAGAATGGCAAGGCATACCCGGGAAAACATAATATTGCATATTTTGTTTTTGTGTTCACACCTGATACACATGAGACCATTGGAAGGATAGATTATATTATGTTGACTTATTCATGGAAGGATCTCAGAGTTGCATTTATTTTGATCTTATCAACCATTTTGAAACAACAAGAAAAAATGTTATAATAGAATTTTGACAATTTGCATTTAAATAAACTTTATTATTGTTAAATCTGTTGTTATATAACTGTTCTAATGAAAACTTAAATTTTCTGCTTAAGAAAACTTGWGCTGGCTGTGAATGTTTCATAAGAAGAGGAAGAAGACACCTTGACATTTGACAGTTAAGCTGATTTGGKCGAACAGTATAGAACTCATTTTTGTCGATTTTTTCTTCAAAAGAAGTATTTACTGAAAATTAAAAATGTTGTCAAGAACCGCTTTACTTTCAGGTAATAATAATAAAAATATTTGTATTTTAATTATATAATTTAAATAATTTCCTATTTGCCAAATCAAARGTGTAGTTATGTGGGAGAATATGCATGTTACGCGACTACTTTTGTCATCGTGGTTTATGTAATCGCGAGTGAAACGTCAAATTAGTATTTGCAAAAAAKAGAATAGTGGGGTTTTGCAACATACTTTTAATAATTTTATGTACGATTTTTCAGTTCAACGTCCTTTGGGTGTCCTAGCTATGAGATCAGCTAGTGCGGCCGGTTCAGGTGATCAAGTTGCTCGCCGAGAGCGTCCGGAACATCCTGGCAAAGTTCGTTTAGGTTTCATTCCAGAAGAGTGGTTCCAGTTTTTCTACAATAAAACTGGTGTCACTGGCCCATATACTTTTGGTGTTGGTCTGCTTACTTACCTATGTTCCAAGGAAATTTACGTCATGGAGCATGAATACTACAGCGGCTTGTCTCTGGCCATTATGGCAATCGTTGCTGTAAAGAAACTTGGACCTACTGTCGCTGCTTGGACAGATAAAGAAATCGACGTACGATTTATTTAAATATTAGGATTTGAAATTGAACACGGCTTTTAACAAGAAATTTTTCATGATATCCTAGAGAATCGAAAATGAATGGAAATCTGGCCGAGAGGAGGAACTCCAAAATCTTGCTGATGCTATCGAAGCCGAAAAGAAGGAACAATGGCGCGCTGAAGGTGCTTTATTGCTTATGGATGCCAAAAAAGAAAACATAGCATTACAATTGGAAGCTGCATTCCGCGAACGCGCTATGAATGTCTACACTGAGGTATAATGCACCTTTTCTCTTGTGAATATATAAATATGTATAATAAAAATGTACCGCTAATCATAGGTAAAACGCCGTTTAGATTACCAAGTGGAATGCCGTCATATTGAACGCCGTATTAACCAAAAACACATGGTGAACTGGATTGTAAACAATGTTCTCGGTTCAATCACTCCTCAGCAAGAGAAGGAAACTCTTGACAAATGCATTGCTGATTTAAGCGCTCTTGCTGTTCGCGCCAAATAGATTACTTGTTTATAATTTAAAATATATTTTGAAAGAAAAACGAATGTATAATTTAATATTTAAATTGTAAAGAATGAACAATTGCAACAATTTTCTTCTTTAAATATAAAATTCTGCATTGACTGCGCCCAGAAAAGAAATGTCATTATGCTGTTGTTGTTGTTGTAACGGCAGAATTCTGCCGAGTTGACAGTCCTTGGCCGGATAAAAATCCGGGTCCGTTCCGGTTTTCGTAGACCCGACTGTCGTGGGAACGGAGAAATGTCATTATTTTAACTTATTATAAATAATCAAGAAATTACGAAAATAAAAACTAGTTAAAGGTATTTTACAGTATTGAGAAGTAGAATGAATAATTAATAAAATTTCAACATATAATAAGGTTACATTTTATTTGAATATTCCAGAAAAGGAGAAGTCTAAAAATTATGATTTGACATTAATTTAATTGGAGATCATTTATTTCGCAGCAAAATTATTTTGAAAAATGTTSTTGATTTTTAAGAATATAAATCAGCCTAACACAATAAATTCCATACAAATTCATCATAGCAATAAAATCTTTGGTACCAAAAATGCAACTATGTAGTCGGTAAAATGGGCATCCCTTTTAACTGTCAAAGATTCGGTTCGGCTAATCATACGTGTCGTTTTATTGTGTCGCTCTCGACGTGTTCATTTTGTTTCTTTGGCAAAAAAGGTAAAAATAGTTACTATCTGAAAATATCGTAAACTGTGAAATTTGAAGTGAAAACTTAGATTTAAGAAAATCAAACTAAAATTAATGAAGTAGCTGTTTAGCAAGTAGTTTTCGTATAGCAGTTGCCACAATATTGTTTTCAACTTGTTTTCTGTATTTTTTATAGCAAAGCCAAAATAGTCCTAAAAAGATGGCCCCACCACAAAGGATGCGTGTCGCTAATGAAAAGGCTAGCAAATACGTGACCATGCGAGGCAACGTACCAAAGTCATCGGTAAGTACAAACAGGTTATCAGTGCCCTCCATTTTTCTATAATATATCGAAATTTAATTTTTAAAGTTATACATGAAAATGTTGAAATTTTGTAGAAACGTTAACAAATTTTCAAACATTTAAAATTGYTTTCCTAAATTTATTATGAGTTATAGAGAAAACCTCAAAAACAAAACAGGTGAAAGTGCCACGCCGCTGTTCTACGTCTTTAATGTTTGCTTATCGTTGATTGTTTTCATATGTATTCATATACATGTGTGCATACTAGGTAATGTCAACGTACACTTGCTTTTGATGTTTGTAAAATATTTGAATAATATTTGTATAGCATTATGTAGAAAACAAAATTGATATTGTCATATATACATATACATATATGTACGTATAAAGAATATCAAATGATTGTTAATAATTATGAATAATTTGTTTTTCCAGAAATCCAAAGATAACCAATACCCTGTTGGACCTTGGCTTTTGGCATTGTTTATTTTCGTGGTTTGCGGTTCTGCTATTTTCCAAATAATCCAGTCTATTCGAGCAGCGTAAAACTATAAACACCAACTAAATGATCTTTAATTTTAAATGCAATGAATATTCTTCCGAAATCCAATCATATATAATTGCCATACTTTTAAAAGTTTTTTTTTAAATGATTTCAAATAATAGTTTATTTAATGTGCTTGAAGTCTGAAATGATTTATTTTATATGTTGAAAATTATAAGCATTGAGGAATTAAATGCACCGGCTTAATATTTCAGCAGTTAAAATGTATAAATTTATTTTCGAAAGCATTCCTTTTTGGTGATTATTGTGATTGGTTGGTTTTTCTCGAGCAACATATTGTACTGTAAGCTCGGTATTTAAGATACAACTTAAAAATTAAATTGATTTACGTAATTTTGTATAGAAATGGTAATACATTAATTTTTTTACTTCTTACAAAAGAAACCATGTTTTTTTATTTTAGAGTTTGAAATGTATCAATTTGTTGAAGTAAATATTGTATTTCAAAAAGGTAATAAGAGTGATAGAGAATGGAGTCATGTGTAGAAGTTCGCGCAAGTGAGGAGGAAAGTTCGCTGATCGCCATTCACTTGGGAGAGGGCAGAAACGATTCTTTTACATATGACTCAAGCAGCTCACGACTATTCGATACAGATGTTAACTATTATGTTCTCGAAAACCGTTTCAATAGACGTTATATATGTATGTATGTTTTACTAGGTTGATTAAACCGTTGGATTTTGTGAATGAAGTTATGTAAAGAAAAAATGCCAATCTTTGAGTGGCAAAATGTTTATTTAGCTAAATTGTTGCAATCATCATATAAAATTTTCTGTTCGAATAACGTCAAAGTTTGTTTTAATTTTGAAATAATACTATATGTAGTCGAATATCGCCAATTTTACCTATTGAACAAGTTAATTACTCATGTTTTTAAAGATGATTTTTTGTAATTGTATATTTGATAAAGATAAACCTTTTGTAGAAACTATTTAAATAACAAGTTATGTCAGGAATGTTTTCAGCAAGAGTGAAAACTACTAGAACAACAACAACCTCTCTCTTAAAGTTTAAATGGCTTTCTTCAGATCAGCTATGTTCAAAATCGATACTGATAAAAGTCATATCGTTTTAAATCAATTTAAAACCTAACGACACGTCTGCATGACAGCGATTGTTTTGGTCTGCAAAAGTCGTCTGTAAGCCAGCTTTTTAAACAAATTGAAGATGGCAGCGACATTTCTTCGTTGTTGCCATACTAAAACTATTACTTTGAATGAAATTTAAAAAATTTTCTTCAGAGCGAATTTTTTTGTGTTAATAGATCGATTCATTTGTCTTGAATGATATATTGTTATTACATTAGATATATAATATCTAGAATACGATATCGGCAAAATTAGAAATGGTTTTAATTTAACGACAGCGACTACTACAAGCTAACTGTTCCCATAAAACGTGTGTATTTTAATTTTTGCCACCTGCTGCATGTCGCTCTATGTGCCATACTTAAAACTAAAAGAAATAACAGMTGATTTTATATTTATTGGGAAGAGAAATTTATAAAAAAAATTTGTGAATGCGGCGCATATTTCATACGTTTTTAAGTGTTATGTCAAAGAATAAAAACAAAAAGTCTGCTACCGTTGTTGCTGTAGATGAGAAGAAACCAAGTAGTGGTCCTGTGCAGTTGGACAAAAGCGGAAACATTTGCATTCGAATCCTCGCTAAACCAGGGGCCAAAATGAATGGCATTACGGATATAGGAAATGAAGGAGTTGGAATACAAATAGCAGCACCGCCCACAGAAGGAGAAGCGAACGCAGAACTTGTGAAATACCTGTCCAAACTTTTAGGATTACGCAAAAGTGACGTATCGCTGGATAAGGGATCTCGGTCACGGAATAAATTAGTAATGATTAGTAAAGGAGTTACGACATTGGAAAATGTAAACAAAGCATTAAAAAGAGAATGCGAGACATAGAACGTAAAATGTTTATGTTAAGAATCATTTAATATACATACATATACTTCATCATTGGAGTTAGTAAGTCTGCATTTTTAACGAATAATATAATTTAATGCAACCAAATAGAGCAGCATGATTTTAATAAATTGTATTACTGAACATAATWAAGTCATCTTCCCATTAGAAAGTTGAATAATTTTTAAATTTATTTTATCTTAACAAATCTTAGCAATATGTTTCAACTGTAATAATAGATACAAATGTATATGCATTAGTAAATAAATACATGTATTTTAATTGCAGCAATCACTGTCATAGGCATCGTCTTTAATCCAACCAAACAGAAAGTATCCAATTGTAAGACCTAACAGAATTGATAGGCACAGCCAGTAATTGAAACTCATAAATATCAACATTAGTAGCATTGATAACATAACTTGAAATAAGAACAATAAGGTTTGTATAAGATGTTGAGGTGCTGTTATTTGCTTAAATAATTGTTTATTTTTAAGTCCAGCAATTGTGCTGCATACAACATCTGTATTCTCTTTGTTTTTAGATATCTTTTCAAGTTCCCTACGAAGAAGGAACTGTCGCCAAAACTTGACACCTTCATACAAGAATGCCAAAAGGAAAATAGCAAACGCAGACAATGAAAATTCTAAAATTGTTCTTGCAGTCCAACTCTTCCAGAGAATTTGCTCGCAATGCCCACCATGAAACTGAAAATAAGGCCAGCAAATAAGCATTGTAGTATTACACAAATAATATCAACTTACGAGCATCATATGCGGGCAAGAAACTTCCATTTTATCGTGATGACCTTCGGACATCTTAACTATACTCCTAGCTTTCAGTATAGATAAACAAAATTGAATATTTTTGATTAAACTATTGTTATTAATTAAAAGAAATGCAGAGGCAACGAGTTTTTTTTTTTACATAAAACAGGGTGAAGAAAAGTGTTTTTGCACAAATTATTTAAAATTTTAATGGTAATAAATTATGAATTGAATCGTGTCACGCATCGCGTTGTACCCTGAAGTTTTTTCGACGATTCAAATTAATAACCTCCCCTAAATTGTTACTCTGCGGAAGCAAGATGTCCTCTGAAATGCCCGATTTCTGTGACCACATGCGAWCGACGAATTTTCTGATCGAACATCGTATTTTCGGCTTATATTCTCCAACCTGACTTAATTAAATATAAATCAACAAATTTGATTTTCATAAACAATTTGTTTATTTTAAATTTCTTATTGTTAATACMGAATCCATAACATACAGTATTAAGTTCATTTCAATATTTATTCCTATGTAGATTCTCACACGCATACATCGATTTAAACGAAAGTTAGGCCGCTTAAAACGCGACAACAAAATGCCATTTCGATACTCATTAATTGAACATAAATAGTAGCTATAAGTCTAGAAATTTAGAGTTGTTCGCTAAATCGAATATAAAATTATGGTAAACTAAATGAACTTATGATGTAGAATTAGCAAAATTCCCATCCAAATTTTGGAACATGGAATTTTGTCAGTATTTTTGTCATTTAATCGACTTCTTCCATATGAGATGCATCCTCAGTGTCATCAACCAATGGAGGCGCATCACCACCGCTCTGAGTATCTTCAGTCGCCATGGGCTCTTCTTCGTCAATACCAAGACCAAGTTTGATCATGCGATAAATGCGGGAAGCATGCACTTGTGGACTGTCCAAGGAGAAACCTGATGATAACAGCGCAGTCTCAAAAAGTAGGATGCACAAGTCTTTTACAGCCTTATCATTCTTGTCAGCTTCAGCCTTTTGGCGCAAAGTTTCGATGATTGGATGTTCTGGATTGATTTCCAAATGTTTCTTTCCGGCCATGTAGCCCATAGTGGAGGTGTCACGTAACGCTTGTGCCTTCATGATACGCTCCATGTTAGCTGACCAMCCGAATTGGGATGTTACAATACAGCATGGCGACTCAACCAATCTGTTGGATACAACGACCTTTTCAACTTTGTTGTCCAAAATCGACTTCATCAACTTGCACAAGTTTTCGAATTTGGCCTTGTCCTCCTCGCGCTTCTTCTTCTCAGCTTCATCTTCAGGCAACTCCAAACCTTCTTTGGTAACAGAAGTCAATTGTTTGCCCTTATATTCCTTTAAGTGTTGGATGACGTATTCATCAATTGGTTCAGTCATGTAGATTACTTCGAATCCACGGGCCTTTACACGTTCGACGAACGCAGAGTTGCTCACTTGTTCCTTCGACTCACCAGTGATGAAGTAAATGTGTTTTTGGTTACTCTTCATACGTGAGACGTAATCAGACAAAGAAGCAGCATCATCACCAGAAGCCGAGGTGTGATAACGTAAGAAGTCAGCAAGTTTAGCGCGGTTGTTGCTGTCTTCATGCACACCCAATTTCAAATTCTTGGCAAATTGATCGTAGAACTTCTTGTACAGTTCTTTATCTTCAGTAAGTTCTTCGATTAATTCCATGGTTTTCTTCACCAAATTTTTGCGAATAACTTTCAATACTTTGTTCTGTTGCAACATTTCACGAGAGATATTCAGAGGCAAATCTTCGGAGTCGACCACACCCTTGATGAAATTCAAATACTCAGGAATGAGTTCTTCACAATTGTCCATGATGAAAACACGTCGGACGTACAATTTAATGTTGTTGCGCTTCTTCTGATTTTCAAACAAATCGAAGGGAGTGCGACGTGGGATAAAGAGCAAAGCACGGAATTCCAACTGACCTTCCACGGAGAAATGCTTAACGGCCAAATGATCCTCCCAATCATTGGTAAGAGATTTGTAGAACTCGCCATATTCTTCCTGGGAAATATCATCGGGGTTGCGGGTCCAAATTGGTTTGGTTTTGTTCAACTCCTCATCCTCGGTGTATTTAACCTTTACAGTCTTCTTCTTCTTCTTGTCCTTGTCTTTGTCGGCATCTTCATCTTCACCAACATCTTCAATYTTCGGCTCATCGGTATCCATGTCTTTCTTCTCTTCATCTTTTTTGTCATCTTCAGCCTCATCGTCACTCACTTCCTGATCACGTTCTTTTTCGACCAATAACTTAATTGGATAACCAATGAATTGTGAGTGCTTGTTCACAATCTCTTTGATTTTGCTTTCTTCCAAATATTCGGTTTGATCTTCTTTGATATAAAGAACAATCTTGGTACCCCGTCCCAAAGGTTCTGTGTTGTCTGGTTTCACAGTGAAAGAGCCACCGGCAGAAGACTCCCAAATGTATTGCTCATCGTCGTTGTGCTTTGATGTAACAGTTACCTTATCAGCAACCAAATAAGCTGAGTAGAAACCAACACCAAATTGACCTATCATAGAAATATCAGCACCAGCTTGCAATGCTTCCATGAATGCCTTTGTTCCAGACTTGGCAATTGTACCCAGATTGTTAACCAAATCAGATTTAGTCATACCAATACCGGTATCAATAAGGGTCAAGGTTCCAGCAGTCTTATTGGGAATGAGCTTGATGTACAGCTCCTTACCACTATCCAACTTAGTGGGGTCGGTCAATGATTCGTAACGGATTTTATCCAAAGCATCAGAAGCATTGGAGATCAACTCACGAAGGAAAATTTCTTTATTCGAGTAGAATGTGTTGATGATCAACGACATAAGCTGAGCAATTTCAGCTTGGAAAGCAAAGGTTTCCACTTCCTCTGGCATCTGTAAGCAAAGATAAATAAAATATTTATGTCAAAAAAAGAAATTATGGGTTTAATTAAAAGAAAAAAGTTCAATCTTCATTTAAAACAAATAACCTTGCGGAATAAATCAATAAATTTTTAACGTCTACTACAAACATTTTTACTTCTACACTCTGAATACTATTTTTAACACATTTTAGAATTATAGTTAATAATACACACCTTGTTTTAATATATATATTAAATTAGTACAAAATACTTCTTTGAATAAATTTCTTTTAAAGCCACTTGCAAAAAAATATGCAAAACACTTTATTAGTTGCTCCGCGCAAAATGTTTTCAAGCGTATTTTCTCAATTCAACTGATGCCGGTGTGTTGTATGTGGCTGTATTTATAGAAGCCCAAAAGTTGCATGTCAAAAAGTAGAAATTACGAGATTGTTCTAGAAGAAACTACACAAACTTCCGGTGACAGTTTCTAGCATCATGCTGTACGGAACTCTGATAGATTTTACTACTTATGAAATAAGTTTGTATTTTCGACACCGRCAATTAGTTTAGCATCTGCTCTACTTGCTTATGATATATTAACCAATCGTATAATTTCTACATAAAGTATAAAAATGCTTCAAATGGAATTATTTGAGAATTTTGTACAGCATGATGCCATTGAGTGTAAAAGTATACAGTGGCTTTCAAAAATCTGCATGTCTGTGCCATCGGAACATTCTGGATCCGGTTTCAACATGACTACCCGATGAGTGTGCTTGTAACCCATATGTAAATATATTTGAGAGTATATACATACATATATATTGAGTAATTTGTATCACTCAATTATAATGCATYTGTAGCCTTTTAGGATAATTTACGAAATTTTTCAAAATGGGAATGATATTTGTGATTTTAAATTAAAAGGAGAAATGTACCAGAGAACTTAAAGCATGTTTTAAGCAGAGAATGTCTTTAAGTTCTCTGTATATACATATGTATGTACATATGTACGCACATATGTATGTATATGTATGTAAGTATACTTATTCAGAGAACAATGAATTAATGATTGCATACTTGTATCTTAGTATTTTCTAATTTTGAGAATTTAAACATAATGTGCACATATTTAATTTTATAGAAAACATTGTAATTTAATGTACATATGCATATAGACCAGAGAATGTATAATCAGAAACTTAAAACTTTAAAACTTTTAAGTTCTTTGGTATACATACTTATGTACATATGTATTTAGTATTAATGAATTTTTCTACTATTGTCTAATAAAATTAAAATGGGTATTTAGCTCTGTAATTTTTACTTTCATTCCTTGCATTTTACATTATATGGTGACATTAATAGTTACATACATACATATGTATATACATACATACATATTTACAAAAGTTCATATGAATTGAGGCAAGAATTGCAATCGCATAAAATACTATAGCGCTATGCACCAATGTAAGTATATATTATATAAGGAAATCAAGTCAGAGAACTTAAAACATAGAGAAGGTGCAAATTGTTTAAGTTCTCTGCTCTGGTCGAGTACCAAGAGTAGAAAATGGTGGTATTTGAAATAAATAATGCAAAAAGTTCTGGAAATTGGCACTATGCGCAATGCTACAAGTACGTCTGCCGAGTGACGCACGTGCACAGATGACATGAGTTCTCGCATTTTCCTTAGATGGCTGTAAGAGCGTACTAGTGCAAATTGCATTAAATCAATTCGATATTTTATTCAGTGTCTGAATTGTTTCAATAATAAGTTATGTTTAGTCATATAAAACAGTATATTCAGATAAATACTGAAAAATAAAAAAATCCGGTAAAATCAAATGTCTTTGTTTTTGTTCGGCTTTGCTTTATATCATTTTCCGAATTATCGTTTATTTTCCCACTTTGCACTGTCATTATTTTGTTTTTTTTTTTTTGGTGTTGATTTTTTGTCGGGTTAAGACAGGGCTGCAAGTATAAGCAGTTGGACATTTGACGTAACATAAAAATTATCGTTAAGTGAAAACGTAACAACTGGCGGGTAATTTCCATTTTTTGTTGTAGAAAACCTGAACCTCATATTCAGGCATTTGATACATCCCCATTTATTTTTATAACAGGTATAAATATGAAATATATAAATCGTTTCCATGTCAAGCACGGTCACTTCTAGTAAGCCTGAAAATTATATGGGAATATTGTTCTCTTGCTACAATAATAACATATATCAAACGACAATATAAAACTTATAAATAACTACACTACCACTCCTAGGGCAAGAATTATAATAGTAATTATTCTGGTTGTAATTATAGTATATTAATTTTAATATTTGAAATAATTATTAATAAAGWAAACCTGTAGAATGAGATGCTTCGATAATTTTTCTTACGGGTATTTTATTAGCAATATTTAATGGTTAAAGGCTACACATTTTTTAGAAACTCAAGTTCGTCTGATTTATATATGCATATACATGTATGTATCTTTGAATACCCTTACAGGACAAATTTTAAACTGTTATATATTGAAATCGCTTTTAAGAAATCAATGTTAATAAATGGTGGAGTAACACCTCTGCTTTTGGGACATATGATTTTTGACGTTAATAACTGTGTTTGGAAGGAATCCGACATTTACGTAGAAATTGTAACTATTAATATTTTTTTAATAYAAAAATTGCAAAGTGTTTAAGGTTGAAAAGTATAACATAAATGAGTTATTAATGTAGAAAATGGCACAAAGAAGTCGACACTCACACCGTAATAGTGCGAGTACGCGTTATTTCGAAAAGGGTGAAAAGGTACTCTGCTACGAGCCAGACCCAACAAAGGCGAAAGTGTTATACGACTCAAAGGTGCGCAAACATTTGCTGTATGTTGCAGTATGTAGATAGAAGTACAGAAGTGTTGCTTTTAATTGTTTTGTATTTTTCTCAATTTTGTTTTCAAAGTTTATATGTACTAAATAAAATTCGTATTAATCTATGAAAAAATTGCGTAATAGATTTTGGGTACCTACGATTCAAAGGATAAGCGTGGACGAAAAGTTATTCAATATAAAGTACACTTTCAAGGTTGGAGTAGTTCATGGGATCGTAAAGTGAACGCTGATTTTGTTTTAAAGGATACCGAGGAAAATCGTCAACTTCAAAGAGATTTGGCTGAAAAGGCACAGTTACAAATGTGAATTATGAAAACTATTTTTATATATTAAGTACTTGTTTATTCAAAATTTTTAATTTTAGTAATGCTTTTCTGTATCGCAAGGAGCGTACCGGTGGTAAGAAAAAAGCAAACAAAACGGTAGTACCTGCGGAAGATGCTGCAACAGCGGGGGGCAACATAACAACTGATTTGCGTTCATCCCCGAAATTTCGAACACGCGGCTCATCTGAAGATAATTTTAGCTCAAGTAGCACTTTTGAAAGACAAGAGGATTCTCCAATGAAGGACGGTAAGTAAAGATTGAAGTTTTGAAGTTTTTGAATAAGTGCTGAAATTGTTTTACGTAGAATGTGAAACCGAGTCTTGCTGCAGTTCAGTAGAAAGTTTTCCAGATGAAGAAAGAGTCTTACTGCGAATAAGTGAAAGGCTTCGTCAATATTTGGAATATGATCATGATATGATTGTAAAATATTGTAAGCAACATGCCTTGCCTGCACGAATACCCGTCGTGGCCATCTTAGAGAACTTCGTTAAGCAAAGTGTTGTTAAATTGGTATTTTCAACAACACAAGTTGAGAGCACAAGGCGACGCACTACGCAACAACGAACAAACAAAAAAGAACATGAATTTGACAAGCTTGTGGCAACGTAAGTGATCTGCTAATATCCCCATTTAAATTTATGCATATATGTATGTGCGTTTAATAAATTGCGTTTTTATTGGCAGTGTGGGCTTATTAAAAGAGGTAGCTGATGGGTTACGCATTTATTTTGATTTCACTATCACCGATTATCTACTATATAAAGAGGAAAAAGAGTACGCGTTATCCTATTTAAGTGAGGAGAATCTTAAAAATTTCACATACGTTGCATTGCCGGGCTTATCGGCCGATTTTCTTAATCCCACTAAATCGGACACGGATTCAGCGCAATTGCCTATCAGTGACAGTGGCACTGAAGTGCACGCTGCCGATGCCAATTCGACAACACCCGYCACGACTGATGAGCCACAAAAGCGAAAATCCCGSATACATCGGAGTGACGACTGTGAAATGATTGTTGAAAACTGTTTGGAGAAYTGTTTATCGAGTATTGCTAGCACCAGTTCAGGTGCCTCAACCCCTTTACACTCTGTTRCCGCTGGCAGTGGCGGCGCCTCTGGAGTTAATTACTTGAAATCACTGCAGCCAATGGCACTCAATCTACCAACACAAACCAAGGAATTCCTGCAAGGAGTCTTATCCTGGCATTTRCTGCCTACCAATGCCCCTACAGCGCCGTCAATGATATTTGGAGCTCCACATTTGGCACGATTAGTTGGTAAATCTAGCAATAGTAATTTTCGCACATCATCCAATAATAAATACATACATATGTATCCTCACAGTTAAATTGCCGGAGTTTTTGAATGCATCATCGATAAACGACGACAAATTGAAAAATTTACTACAACATTTGGATACATTCGTGAAGTGAGTACTATTGGAATAATTTTTTGGAACATTTTAAATTTATATACCGCATTTTCTTGTAGTTACTTGGAAGCAAGAAAAGAATGGTTCAACGAAGACAATTACGCGCGCTCAAATGCGATGCGTAAACGCGCCAGCTCCACCGACAGCACTAAACCCACACCCATGGAAGGCGTAAAGGACACACTTGATACGAATTCTCAAGCGGAAGCGGTCGCCGCAAGTGCAACAAGCACARCAACGCCAACGACGCTGCCGTCAACGACTGTAGCTGGTGCCGCTGCAGCTATTGCAACGTAATAACCCAAACACATACGTACATATGTGTTGTAGATGTAAATAGTAAAATGTTAAAAAGTAAATTTCACACAAAATAATGTAAATTTAGAAACAAGTTTTATTTTACAAAACTGTGTATCTTAACAATTACAAGTATTTCTGTTTTTCCTTTTAAGTATAATTTTAAAGCTTTTTAATTTTTTTTTCACATGAAGACATGTGTGTTATCGTATCCTTCTCGCATTGTTCATTTCCACTTTCCACACATACATGCAAGTATGTTATTTGTATGTACGCACACAACAACAATATCGCGCAGTTTGTGTTGTTTGCCAAATGCGTTTGTGAAATAAATATGACTTAAAATTATTATAAACATGAAATACTTTACATTTTTTTTATTTTTATTTTTATTTTTCATTACAAGTTAGTCACTGTAAAATAGCTAGCAGCTAAGTAGAGCCTGTCTCTTATACACATCTAGATGTGTATAAGAGACAGCATGAAATACTTTACATTTTTTTTATTTTTATTTTTATTTTTCATTACAAGTTAGTCACTGTAAAATAGCTAGCAGCTAAGTAGAGCTTAAGTATTAGTAAGTAAAATGGCTTAGTTTCGTTATTGCTATTCGGCTTAAACTAATAACTTAGTAAACATTTTAGTGCATTAGGTTTTTTATAATAGAACAGTTACTATTYGAAAATGATTTTATTTGTGATTTCACTCATCTCTTTGCATGGTTTAAATTAAAACCAAARCCGAAAAGGCTCTTTGATTTCAATTGTGTACAAATTTTGATTTGTTACAGTCTGCTTTTGTGTAAAATTGAGTTTGCGACAGCTGTGTGACTTGGTTTTTTAATAAAAGCTAATGTTTTTTCTATAAGTGCGCACGAGGAAGCGCAAAGTTCTAGGGCTTTTCGAAAATAACTGTCAAGTGTAACTAGCCACATAAAATATATATAAAAACTGCATACGAATGCGATATGCACATATGTATGCAGTTGCATCGTTTATACCGAATACRAATRCATACATACATACGAAGTGCATTGGTGTGCTTATAATTTGTTATTGCGCTTAGTTTCAAGTATGTGCTTCAAATTCGGCTTCTTATGCGGACGGCTTGAAAGTTTCTTCATATACAACAAACAGTACACCATAAACATATGTATGTTATATTGTTTTTAATTTTTTTATGTGGGAGATATTCAACGACGGAATGTTAAAAACTACGAATATATGTTTATATGTGTGTGTATATGACGTATACAAGTATCTTAGAATCTGATATAGATTGAGTTTTAGCAACAGTAACTGCCTACATATTACAAAATAAATACATTTGTATTGTGTTTTCTCCTTTGTTTCATAGAAGATATTATCGTCTTTGTTTAGGTCTTTTGCGTGTGAGTAAATTTTAAGAATCGGATATGAGATTTRTTGGGAGTACATATTAGGCATATACCCAGTCACATATGTATGTATGTATGTTCACACTTGTATATCAAAAGAGTCAATGTTTTCACGCTCTAGCACAACTATTTGGTTCTCTTGGTGGTGCTGGACGCCGTCGGCCGCATGAAACTGCTCATACCACGGTTGCTCGAAGCGCTTCTGGTGCTACTGGCTGTGCGCGTGTGCGCCGTCTGTGGCGTGGCCTGTTGTGACATGGCCGCTTTGACTAGAACAGCACTGCGTGCGACATTTGTGCGCGTTGGCGCGTTGTTGGTTTGGTTCTCCTTAAAGCTCGCGCTGCCTAAGTGCACAGTGCGCTGCCCACTACCAACGTTACCGTTACCCGTTACTTTCCGCACGACTACCACGTGCTGCCCTATGCTCGAACCACTGCTGCTACTGCGACTGGCTGGCATCGGTGTGCGGCTGGCGGGCGCACCACTGACGACACGCAGATGCGGCGGCATGTTGTTTTGCATCGTTAGCGGGCGTTTGCTGGGCGACGAATCGACCGACACTGTTTGCAGCGGTGTCTTATTCACCACAATCGGCATGCGTCTCACTGTATTTGTCGAAGCGGCACTGTTGATGGATGAGCGTGACGAACGCAGGCTATTCCTKGAACTGCTACGTTCGACATCGCGACGCACTGCATGCATAGGTGAAGTGTGTACACTTTGAACTGTATCTTGCTGGCTGCTGCCTGGACGGCGCATAGAATGTGAACGTCGCGCTGCATTGCTGCCAGCACCGAATGCAGGCTGCACAACAGCTGGACCATTAGATATACGGAATGAACGACTGCGGTCTATTTGTGTGGAGTTGGGTGGTCGACGCGTAGGCGCAGTTTGTTGTTGGTATGCGGGTTGAGACTTTTGAGGTAACACGTTTCGCAGCTTTGATATTTGCAGTCGATCGGCTAGGCGACTTGTGTTCGGCCTTGAGGGGTTGGGCTTCGGCGTTGTAGTCTTTGTCGTTGTGGCGCGTGCATGTGGTGTCACGCGGTCAGACACGCCGTTGCAMGAGGAATTSGTGCTCTCTTTGCCTTGTGAGGGCGTGTCTGATACGAGGCTTTGTGTCTCTTCGAACCCTTCGTCGTTGAGTTCATGGCTGGATAGTTTAATGACAGTAGCGCTTTGGTTACTAGGTGTGGGGTTTTGCAAGGGTGCGTTGGTTATATGCGAACTAATTATGTCGCGTGGCGGACTCCATATGCGATCCGGTGTGTTGGTTGGTGATTTAAGATTCCTTATGGCTTCTTGTACATCTTCTTGATTGATAGAGCTAATGTGACGTCCAACTTTTTCCAGTTTAGTAATCGTACGCTCTGCAACCGGTTTTGGGGTGATTTGTTTTGACTGCTCCGGTAAAAGCTTTTCTACTGTAGTCTTATTTTGATTAGACGTATCCTGCGCTTTGTCATGCATCCTMTCCATGTCACCAGCACTAGATGATTGTCGTACATTGCTCGAGTCGCTCGTGTCTTTAGTTGATAAAAACTCCTCGTTACCGCTGCTGTAATCTGTGGGCCGTTTATAACGTCTTGTGCGCCGAGTGGCTGAGTAACGATCGAAGAACCCAGGTACGTCCTGYTCACTTGGTTCCGGATTGCTTTGTTGTTCGCTAAGTTGTTTGCTATTGGTCTTATCCAGGCCATTAATGGTTACCAACGTCTTATTTGGTGTGGCGATGACGCGGCGTGTGACCGGTGGTGTTTCCACATTGTCAGCATCAATCTCTTTGCGACTATATTTCTCATTGTGACTTCGACGCATACTGTTGTGTTGACTAAATCTATCATCTCCCGTTTTTATTCCACTCTCTCTACCCGATTTTAATGATTCCTGAATGTTAATATTTGATTTGRTATCGCTTTTTGTTGTTGTCGGTGAGGTTGTTGTAGCTGGAGCGTTCGATTGGGCATTAGTTAAATCTTGTGACAAAGCTTTATTCGATATTTCGACCGGCTCTTTGGATGGTGGCTTGCGTATGTAAATATGCAAGCAATCGTCCATGTCCTCTTGGCCAAGTTGTTTTATTAACGATCTYCGTCGATCCTCTTCCTCGATGGACTTGAGTGCCGTGGCACGCTTTTCTGCATTCTCCAACGAACGTTGTCGTCTATATTCACGCAACTCATCGGCTGTTGTAACATGATKGTTTTTYGGCGATTGCTCCTGGGCTTCAGATGCGCCAGTGTCTGGTGGTTCATTACCCCGATTACCCTTGCGCCAATGTGATTTATCCCTGGCGTTATTCACATCTGAAAGAAATACATGCATTTGTAATAAGACAAATTCGAATAACGCAAAGGTAAATATGCCATACCAGCAATTGCTTGTATTGTGCCRACAACATCGGTGTGTTCGAGCGTGTTGGCGGGCTTCCAGTCGGGATATACCCGTTTATAATTATTCGCATTGTTATTATTGTTATTGTTACAGTTAGTACTGTTATTATTATTATTGTTGTTGTTMGTATTTTTGTGGAAATGTTGAGAATTAGTCGAGTTCGTAGTTGTGGTTGGCGCGGTAGCCACGATTTTCTCCTCAGGCAAAGTATCCAATTTTCGTTCGCTATCTAAAAGCACAAAAAGGTAATCGAAATGAATAGAGCAGTGTTCAAGTAGTAGCTCTTAGTTATTTTGTATCAAATCGCAAATAGATGTACCTGTTTCGTTTTCAAACGAACGCCTATTACTGTTAACCAAACGGCGCTTGCGTTTGAATTCTTCGTTTTGCTTTTCATCGTTCTCGTTGGACTGCAGCCAGTTTTCGATTTTTTGTCGAAATTCACGGGATATTCTGTATAAAAATTAGGCATTATACTCTCAGAATAGCACCAATAAGTCCATCAAGGATGTCTGTTTGTATATATTTACTCACCTCGGTTTCGTATCCTCGCTGGCTTGCTGCGTGGGGGAAGGAGTAGTACCGCCACCTTGCGGTGAGGTTGGCGATTTTTTATCCATATTCAGTAACGGCGCTGGTGAACTGGCACGTTCGCGGTCATCACTGAAGTCCACATTTAAGAGTTCGGGACGTTTTCGGCTGGAACTTCCAGAACGCGCACGACGTGCCCAAGACCGATCTAAGTTGTTGGTAAATAGAGAGACATACAATCAAAGGTTGTACTTGAGATTGTTATTATTTATAAATTTTATTAATTCTAAGCGCGTATGCATTTGTATAACTTTTACGTGCCTTATTTTTATTGATTGTGGGGTTAAAAAGAGAGGCACTAATAGTAGATACATTTATATAAGGTGGTATTTGTTGCAGTTTTAGTTTACAATAATCAATAAATAGAAGTACTCATTTGACATGAAGATCCTTTAACTGTTTAATCACGGGAGATCAYTGCACCCCCATAAATTAAAAATACTTCAATATTTGCATACCCAAACTTCCATAGGCCTTTCGGTCTCTGCTTATATGCTCGTGTCCGGATGTGCGCAAAAACTCCATTAGATCATCTTCCTCTGGTAATACACGGCTAGGCCGTCTTTTTCGCATGCTGCCATTCGGTGTTATGCTCGGTGAAATCCCATCAGGGGTATCAAAGATTTTTTCAATGCTACAAAGGTTTTCCGAATCAGAGACTGGGGTGCCACATTGACTAACTGGAAGGCGTAATACCAATAGAAATACATATAAATAAARTTTAAAGGATAAACAACATTAAGTTTCGCAGAGGACGATTTTACCTTGTCTAGAGCGCCTGGCCAGCTGCTCTTCTCTTTGCTTTCGTCTGAGCGTAGCTTGCTCCTCCAATTGCTGTCGGCGCTCGTTTTCTTTCACAGCCTGCTTGAATTTATCACAGAATGATTGGAATACTTTGAAACACTCCTCCAATTTAAAGTGCGCCGCATCCTCGCAAAAGAAATCGGCTAGCTTTAAACGCATCCCTTCTACCTGCTTCATAT